AGAGGGGAGCTGCGAGGCTGCCTGGCGTGCGGGGCTCCGGCATGCGGGCCTCCTCGCACCGGTGGTGGGTTGGGGGGCCTGAGCCCTTTCCTTAACGTTTGCAGTCACGTAAATTGTGTACCAGAGCGCAGCCGGGCCCTGCGCAAGCGGGCGCGGGGTCCTGGGGCAGGCAGGCGGGTCACATCCCGAGGCACCGCTGCCTCTCCCTTCACTGCGGGTCCTGCGGCCGGGACAGCGAGGTCTTGCCCGGCTCCGTGTGGAGGGCAAAGAAAGACAGCGTGCTTTAGGCCGGACCTGGGTGCGGTTGGTGGTGTGACCTGTGACCGTAATGTGGTGAGTGGGGTACCTGCGTTTTGGGTAAGTGGATATCCAGCATGTGAACGTCGGTGCCCACGCTGCCCTACCAGGCGCATAACATGGTTTAACGGAGGCTGGGAATGATTGGGAAGCACTGCTGGCAGTGATGGCTGCCTTCTGCTGCCTGGTGTTGTGGCATGGTTGATGCAGCCAGCTCCTGTCAAGGTTAGGGGCAAGGAGTTTCACCTGTAAACAAAAAGTCTTTGCTCCTTTGTGAAAGTGGAAAAACTTGAGTTGTTCTTGCTGATGTAGCAAGTGCTCTGGCTTACAGGTCGTTGTTGTATAGTACTAATGAGAAATGCTGACAGAGCTTACTTGCCCAGCACTTCTTGGAATATTGATGGTCTCTGAAGCTGTGGCAAGTGATGCGTGTAATCTGTGGGGAGCCACATCCCAGTGGTCTTGGCTCCAAAGGTGGTGGCAGCAAACTAGAAGTCCTGAGCTCTGGCTGGAATCTGTGGACCCCACTAGTGGGAAACCTTGGCTGAAGTTTGGTCTGCTGTTTACATTCTCTATGCTTTTGATCATCTGGTTTTGTTATTTTTTTAATTATTATTTTTTATTTCTTAGTGTTGAAGGTGGTTCATAACTAGTATTGTGTGTTGTCATCCAGTTTATCCATTTGTAAAACTTAGTCTCTGGGATGATGCAAGGATGACAGTAGTGGATCAGACCAGGACCTTTGTCTGTTCTCTGTTGATGGCTAAAACTGAGTGCCCTGGTAAGAGCACAAGCAGAGAGCAAGTTTATATCAGTGTGTCACCCTGGATTGTGCTTCCAGTCATGGGATTTCTGAAGCTGTGTTTAGAATTGCCATTGATGAGAAAAATCTGTTGCTCTTTAAACCGAGATCAACTTCTGGTGCCACAGTGTCCTGCTGTAAACCATTTCGTAGCTCAGTTATCTGTCATGTGAAATAGTCACTGCTTTCTGGTTTTGATGCTGTGTCTGCCTGTTTCCCCTCACCACCCTAGCACTTGTGTTAGAAAAGTATGTGGGCGTTCATTTGATAGTTGTCCTCTCCAAGGCAAATATCTAGCCAGTGGTTTCTTGGTTTAGCTTGCAAGCCTGTAGACTGTTTCTCATAAGGAAGCTGTTTCATACCAGTGACTAGGTATTGTGAAAGTGAGAGATTAAGTATGTAATTCTCTTGACTACTTTCAGTGGGATATTTTGGCTAGGATTAGGTTGCCAGACTTATCCTAGTATTGAGAATATGTATGAAGTCATTGCTGCTGGTGTGGTTGAGTACTGACAGCCTGGGAGGCCTGGTCCAGCATTTCATCTGGAAGACACGTCTGTATTAGAAAGTGTTTGGCTTTCCTTCTGTGTGTGGATCAACTAACCAAATAAATAAATGAGGTGACTTCTTGTGACCTCAACCCATGATTGCAAGTAATCAGATATCAGATATTTTTATGATTGCCATCCTACAACAGTTACAGTACCATGTGAAAGAAGTAGCCGAATTAAATTTTGGACATCTCTAACATGTAAAAATCCTCCTCACTAGGCTAATTAAAGAATAAATTAGGCAAACATATTTAAAGAGTGATACAGGTCTACTTGATTCAGTTTCGGATTTAAAGTGCTTTTTCCTGCTTATGAGTCCAGCTGGTAAGGAACTTTTACAGTTAAAGGCCTTCATGAAGCAACCAGAGAGATTCCCTCATACACAACTTTCTTGCATGTCTCTTTGTAATTCAGTGGAAATGAAAGTGGGCGAACTTAGGGGTTGCCAGATGTGGCAATATTCAACTTCTGCAGCAGAGTCTCCAAGAGAAACTTCTTATTTAAAAAATAAACCTATTTTAACAGAGAGATGTGGAAACTGAATCTCTCAAAGCTCTGTAAGGAACATCTTTCTTGCTAAAGAGATTATTTTCTTGTATCTCCCACATCACTTATCAAAGAGGCTTTTGACAGCTTTGACAATTTTGAGGGGTGCTTAAGTCAATTTAGCAGTGAGAGACCAGGAGCTGAGCACAGGAGTCAGCTGACTGAAGGTCATGGTTTCGTATCAGTCGTCTGAGGGAGAAAATAAAGCTTTGAAGGAGAAAAATATGTTTCTGAATACTGATAAGGATACTTCCTGTTTATTCTGTAACTGCTTTTATAATTGCTCTGCACTTTATTAATAAGTTTGTCTTGAGAATAAGTTGCTGTAAGAGTTGTGCCAGTGCCCACTTTCAGGATGGGTTGTGTTGGATGGCTCACTAAGACCAGGTGAGTTTGGTACCTGCATTTGGGGAGGGCGAGAGCCTGGCCTGGTCATAGGCTTGGGGAGCAGCTGTAGGTGCTGCTTTGTGCAGGACTGTGTTGCTGTGTCAGGGGGAAGTTTGCTGCTGATACGGTACACTGGTAAAGCGGTTTTGGATGCTGTTTGCTGCTGTTTGGGTTTGGTTTGTTGTGAGGTCAGTCTATTGGTTCAGTTCCTTCAAATATTCCTTCAGCCTGATGAGAACGACCCTGTCCTCCTCTCTGGCTGCATAGTATGATTTGGAGGATCAAAAGACTTTTCTTGTTCTGTCAATTCTGCTCAGCCTGTTCTAGAAATATCGATGTGATAGGTTGTGATTGTTTAGCTATGTTTGCCTAAAATAAGTTTCAAAAATTTCCCATTGTATTTTTAACACTTGGTTGCTTTTTTTTTGTTGCTTTCTTTTTCTTCTAGAATTCTTCCGAGAGCCACAATTGCGCCAGAAGCATCTTGACCTCAGACAGGCTGCAGATAGTTGTGACCCTTGCAGAGTTCTTTAACGAGACCTGGGAGGCAGCCAACTGTGCAAGTACGTGACTTGTTCTGTAGCTTTCATGCTGCTCTTTTGACTTAGCCCCTAAATTTTACATAGATCAGAATTATATGTATTTGTTTAAATATTGTCAGTAGATAACAAAAATTCTAAGGAGTCAAGAGCTTTTTATTCTGTAAAGGATACTGCCAAAATCTGAGGGCATTAGTCTGTTGGAAAACTTAGTTGCTATAGAAATATTTCTTTTAGGCTATTCTTTCAAAAGGTGGTCATGTTAGTTTTCTTCGTGATCTACAGACTTTGCTGTAGACTTTCCTTGGCTTCATTGCAGTTTCTTCTGTTTTTCTCTGTCTTCCCATTTTTAAAAAAAACAACGTAAGAAACTTCTCAGTGCTTATTAACAAAGTCAGTAACTGGGATGCTTACACATTGAATGGTATCTGTTTCCACAGCCTTGCTTTTTATTTAATTTTATGGGTGAAAGGTGTCCAAGTCTATCCCTGTGTCTCACTGTCCCCATGCTGATGGTGCTGTGCCACGCTTACAGCTGAACTGTGGCTTTTTGCCATTCCCCTGGTGTGGGAAATGGGACTAGAATGCAGAGGGAACAGTACTGTGGAGTTTAGTGTTAAAGACACTGGGTTTGCTGTAGAGTCCCTTGAGAGCCCAGAAGTGTTTATTTCCATTGGTGAGCCTGGGCTGTGTGAGGGCTGGAAGGGCAGTATGAGAGGAGCTCTGTGCTGTCCTGCCATGCTTGGTGTGTGACCTGAGTACTCTCTGCCCAGTGCCCAGCTGAATGCTTGTCCTCAACGCTGATGGTGCTTCCTCCTTTTGCGAAAACTTTTGAGGATGTTGGCTTGCTCTCACAATGCTGTTGCTGAACATCTAAATTCCCAAACTGCTGTTGGTTTCAAGAGACTGTCTGGTTGGAGCACCTGAAGTGGAGTGGGATGAGTGGAAGCTGTAACATGGTAGGCTTGAGCCTGTGATGGGGAGGAAAGCCCCAGAGTTAGTGAAATGGTCAGCTCATTTCGTAAACAGTATTAACCTCCGCTGTCATTCTGCTGTTGTGTTTGTGGTCAAGCTGTTTCCTGGATGCTCGCTCTCAGTTTCATTTCTACTGCTGCTGCTTCTCCTTTCACATAATGGCTGTTACTGTTGCTGGGCAAAGCCAGTTTTGCAGGGTAGAAAATAAAAGTAATGTCTTGTTTTGTCTTAAAGTCCAAAGATAATTCAGACCCCTTCTTCAGAAAGCTCTTGATGATAGTCTTCATCTTTCACTTAATCAAGGCCAATTAATTCTGAAATGTGTTCTCGATGAAGAGTTAAGTCAGCAGGTCTGAGACATCAATGGCAGGCAGATAAGGAAACCGCAGTGTTGCCTAGACCTGTCTTTTATAGTCGAGAGCTCTTTTTGCACGAGTGGAGTGTCTGGGGCTTGTCGGCTATGGAAATGGTAGAAATTAGAATATCGTGATGTTTTTCTTTCTGCTTGACAGATTGTTTAAAGAACAGCAGCGAGGGATTATCAAATTCTACTGTAGAATTCCTGGATTTATTCAATAAATCTCTGACATGTTTTGAACATAACCTTCAGGTATTTATGCTGTGTATTTAAGAGAAGCACTAAATCCTCTAATTGCTAGCAAAATCTTATTGATGCTGGATAAAATACAGATACATATTAGGCAAATAAACTGCTGGTGAGTTTGTGAATTTTAGGCAGATAAAGCAATGATCTATAAAATGCAGATGTTTACAAATTGAGAGGCTAAAATTAGTTCTAATTGATATTCACCTTTACTTAATTTTGTATGTCGTTGCAATGCTACTTCACATCAGAATTTCTGAATTCACAATAGTTGATAATTATATAGTAAGGAGCATCATGTCTGCATGCTGCAAGTCTCTTTTTCTACGTCTTTGGAGAACTGTTGTCTTCTGACTTAATAATTAAATCTTTAAATAGCCTTTTGATAATATAGACTAGTTCAGAAAGACCAGTACCTTCAATCACTGTAACAATTCTTTTGACTAGTAAAATTATAGATGGACAAAGTTTGTCCATATTGCAAAGGCAATATAATTTACTTAGCGAAATAAACATGGGAATTGTCCTCAAAGAAAATACCCTAAATAGCCAAAGAATCCACGTATTTCATTTCAGTCAGAAACTGGCCAAGTTCTGGGATCATTCAATGGTAAAAATGGGAAATGATAGGTATGAAACGATCTCTGGAGAAACTGTTTGCTTTTTTATGATGATGATTTCTAGGAAATGTGCCTTTACAGGCCTTGGCCAGCAGCAATGTGGACTGCCCTTTTGATCTGTTCAAGTGTCTGAACTAAACTTAACCCAGTGGTTGGTGGGTGGCTGATACAACCGTTACTGGGTTGAAATATTTTAGAGGTTGTAGTTTTGTTTTCAACTCTGTTGTATTGCATTCAGGGGTGGTAAAGGCCACAAGTGGAAAGGATTACTTACTGTGGCAAAGTCTGTCTGGGTCAGTACAGCTCAGCAGTAACAACAGCTGCTTGTTAGGTATGGGCAAACAAAAACCAAAACACAGTATTAAGGAACCTGATCTCTGGCTCCAGAAGAACATTTAATTACTAGTAATTTTTTTTTCCTCCTTCTGGGAACTGGTACTTTAAAATTAAGTGTTAAAAAAAAAAAGCTGCTAGTTTAGCAATCAGTTTGAGATGCATAACCTGCAGGAAATGGATCCTGTTCCTAGTGAATTTGAGTTGGTCCCTTTTCCTCCTTTGTTCTTATGTGAGTTGTTTGTTTGGGTTTCTACTCAATATAGGATGTTAAGAATACAGATTTTGGTGCAATTTTGACTCTGGTTTATACGTTTATTTTGGTTTTATTTTTGGTTTTGTTTTAAATAATGCCTTAAAACTCCGTATGAATGCTGTTTTATAACCCTAGGGACAAACCATCTATCTGTCACCAAATAACTACACAGAAGTATGTAAAAACTGCAACGAAACCTACAAAATGTTGAATGACCTGTATAACAACTTGCAAAGCATTAACAGGCAAGGTGGTGAGTCTGGGCACTCCACACACTTGTGTATTGACGTGGAAGATGCAGTAAGTATTTATTAACACTCAACAGAGGGACCTTGTCTTGGAGGTCTTTATTAACCTGAGCCATTTGCTTGTGCTTGTCTTGCTGGGGATTGCCTTTTGCTCAGTCCTGTGCTTAGTCAGTGCTGCAGGAGTATGACTGAAGCTCCTGATCACCCGAGTGCATTCCAGTTTGAGTAGCTGCGCTTTAATTTCTTGTTACTGTGAAGGGGATTGATTTAAAAAAAAACCAAACCAAAACCTTAATCTTCTGGCTTTTAATGCGAAGCTTTACTGCTGTTGTTCTAGCAAGTGTAATAATAGACTCCTTATTACAGCAGCTGTTTCTAGGGGTCCTCAGCATTGGGGACATATGTTTGGAAAAGGCTTTGTTATATTTTTAAGCAGTTGGGTAAAAGGAGTGTTGTCAAAAGTGTGGGATTAGCCCTGTCCCTGCAGGCTGTCAGTGGGTTCTCTGGCAAACAGGCACGTGGCAACGTCTGTGGTATATCTGAGTATAGTCTGGTTTTGAAGCTTGTGGAAATTTTGTTATGAAGTCTTGTCACTGTTTAAATTGTCTGTTTCTACATTTCCAGGGATTTGCTTGCTTTTGGGGAAAGATCTATTAAAGTGTTGGTTCCTGAGATAATATTTGAACACTTGGATATCTTGAAGTCTGAGTGTTTGCTATGCTGCACAGCAAAAATGCACATGCTTGCTTTCATAGCTTGCTTGTGTTTTTCTTTTAGATGAACATCACTCGGAAGCTTTGGAGCAGGACTTTCAATTGCTCTGTTCCCTGCAGTGATACAGTCCCAGTGATTGCAGTTTCATCCTTTATTCTCTTCCTACCTATTGTATTTTATCTCAGTAGCTTCCTTCACTCCACGCAGAAGAAACGGATACTCATTTTGCGTAAGTGGTGGTACTGGCATTTCACTGTTGGATTTGGGTGGTGCCAGGGACTGGCTTGGCTCTTGTGGGAGAGGGGCCCCAGCCAGCTCTGCCTGCAGCTGTGCTGACGGCACTAATAGTGACTATTAGTCTGCTGCTGTCCCCTGAAGAAGGGTAGTCGAGAGCTTCAGCCATATCTTTTCATTAAAGTTTCTGGACGTGAACAGAAAGCTGTTTGCAAGTCTGTGTCGGATAAATAGAGGGAGTGGAGAGACTAGTTTTGTGGAATTCTTTGTGTTTAATTTTCATATAATTTTTCCCTTTCTAGCCAAGCGCATCCAGTCAAATGCCAGTCTTGTGAACATCCAAGAAAAATACAGCTGAGCTGCAAAACAAAACCTGAGAACTGCTGCTGGTATACAGTGGGTACAATTGTGTTGGAATGAGGCCGGCACAAAAGAGGAGTTAATTATGGTTTAGTGTAATGATACAGAGCAACACAAGTTAAACAAAATGCTGTCTGACTTCTAAGCGAGGATATTAACAAACATGACAAGGCAGGGCTGTGTGACACTGTATGGACTCTGGTTTTGAAAAATCTGGGGTTTTTTTTCAGTCTCGGGCTGAAGCTGGTGTTTTTCTAAGCTTTTGTACTTATCAACAGAATAGCTACACTTTCCTTGCATGGTATTTTTCTATATTTATCATATTTGTTTTACAGAAACCTGAGATTCTGAATCTTTTTGAGGTGATTTTCATAGGCAGACAAAACTTGAAATAATACTTGATGTTCCTGCTTGAAACATTACGTTCAATTTGATGTAATATTCAGTCTTGCCAGACTTAGGATGGACAGGAAACCTTTAAAAAAAGAAAAAAAATCATGTCTTTCCTATACTGTTCTAAAGTCATGCTGCTGGTATCTGTTTTTTTAAAAACAGCATGAAATATGCAGAGAAAGTGGTAATATATAATGTCCAAAGCCAGCAGCAAAAGCAACAGAACTGCCAGTGCTAGACTTGAATGGTAATCATTGATGACTACGATATTCAGTTATCTCTGAAACAGGTGGCATATTTAGTCATTTGCATACTTCAACCACTAAAATAATTGCTTTTCAAATATTAAATTTTCAGAGGCTTATTTTGGATGTCTGCTTGGGTAACTGAATGTTCACTGTTTGTTTGTTTATGATTTCATTTCGTTTTTAATTATGAAAATTTTTTTTTAATTTGGGTTTTTTGTTGTTGTTTTTGTAGAGGAGAAATGAGGTAAAGTCAAGTCACTGGAGATGCTGAATTTTCTGGTCTAGACCTTGCTATGGTTTCTCACACAGGTGTTTACAGGAACTTTCTACAGGAAAAGTTATCTTTTCTAGATAATATATATTTTAGTGGTAAATGAACCAGAGGATTCTCTAACTTAAAAACTGTCCTGAAGGACAATGAAAACACTGTGTTGGGAATTGATGACTTTCAAGAAATAGTTTCAAACATTAGGCCTGTGAAATAGATGAATGTAAACAAAATCAAGCTTGCAGGATTCTAAAGCTGATGGAGAAATTCATACAGTAACTGTGGGAATGGATCATGCTACTGAGAGGCTGTGGGCACAATTCAACAGCTGCAGCAATATGGGCGGTTCAGTCTGGTTGTGATAGTCCTGATTTGGGAGAGTGGTGGGGTTGAAACCATTTATAGCTGTACTTGAGGTTAATGAATGCCAGAGTCTTTGCTCCCACTTTTAAGTGTGTTTTCTAACTGAGATAGAAATGAGTGGCTATTACAGCTAAAATGGCCATTACAAGAAATTAAATTTCTCTTGGAATCTGTGTGTCTGATGTCTGTCAAAAAAACTCCTGTGTAGTAGTCTTACGTATTTGACTTGCTTTGGAGCTTAGAATGTTATGTTTTTCCTTTGCACTAAGGCTCAAATAAATATAACTGTAACAAAACAGTCCTAAAACTCTTCAAGTCATTGGTTTTCTTGTTTTTCTTGTAAATTTGGGGGTTTTTTTTTGAGTTAGGACATACTGTCAGTTTTAAAGTCAAGTTGACAGTATGTTTAATATTAAGTAAAATACTGTTAGTGATTAGTCCCACCCACATGACTGCCTTTTTGTATTTTATCACTGAGAAGTATTCTCTCTCCTTCTGTCAAATGTGAATGTCAAGGTCAACAGCTGTTATAAACTACCCAGAACAAACCAATAATAGAAAACTGTGTTTCTTTTGGTTATTACATAGAGTTACCTTCTTGCGGCTGGGAGATGCATGCTGCCTTTAAAAAAAAAAAGATTATTTTTTTTTTTTTATATCTCTTATTCTTAAACTTCAACTTTCTGGGACTTATTCAGCTGCCTGCTCTAATAGCATTACATTGATTTGGGACATCATATGATTGAGAGCTGTTCAAAGCAATCTTTCATTCGTGCAGATAAAGCCAGTTTGTATGTGCAGCATTTCAGAATGACAGCTTTTATACTGTAAGCAGTGGCTTTTTGAGCACATTCATGTTAAGTAGGTCTGAAAGTCATTACTTTTGGATATGGTGGTTAAGCACTTAAAAAAAAAAAATCAGCTTTTCTTATTTTCCTGACTGCTAAGCCAAACGGAAATATTCATGTGACTTTTGTTTTTACTTTAAAGCAGCAGTAAAGTTTTCACTTGAAATTTTTAATATTACATCTACTATTTTCTCCTTTTTCTTTTCCTTCTCTAACCCAAACTTTGTACTACTAACTTTCTTTACACAGTGTTATATTTTTGGTAGGATATTTCATATAGAAATTGATTTAATTCTCTTTATACTCTATTTCCTAGAGAAGTGCTGGGAACACTCAGACTGTGTTGAAAGAGAAGTAGAATTCTTTTTGCTGCTGGTTTTTAATCTTGGTTTATTTTTGCCTTCTTGGTGTCATGTACTAAATAGGATGAACTTTGAAATACCAGTTGTTTGTATCTTTTTGTGCAAATAAAGATTTCTTACTGTGGGGTAGCACTTCGATTCATATTTATACTTACCAGAAAACCTCCTAAACACAAAGTCAGCTCTAATAAAGATTGTCAATAAACAGTGCACAGTGTGGTGACTTAATTGCTTCATTTATAGTAGTTTTATACTCCTGCTGTTCTGGGTCTGTGTTCAGAAGCACCTGCTTATTATTCCTCATTATGCCATTTGCAGGAAAATGGCATCAGAAGGACTTTCTCAAAGCAGTGCTGTGCTGAATAACAGGACAAATGAGCTGCAACTGCTGAGAAAGGGGGCAGTTTCTGCTCAAAACCTACTGCAGTGTATGGAAAGGCTCCTGTTAGCTGCAGCGGAGTTTCCTCTGTGTGTGTGAGTAAGGACAGTGGGGAGAACTTGCTGTGTTTGTGGGAAAGCTTTTGGTTGCCTGCACTGGCTACCCCGGTGGGTTGCTGTTGAGCTGGCAGATTTTCTCAAAAATGGCAGTGCAGTGCCTCACCATGGAGAGAGCTGGGCGTCTCACCTGATGAGAGCAGCTTGTGCACTAGCGGTAGGATGTGGGAAGTTTAAATCTCAGTTTCATTTGCGAGGGACCTATGGTAATGCCGAAAGGTTCTGGTGGCCTATATTCTTGGGCAAGGGACTTGGGAGGGACCCAGCACAAGAGAAGCTCAGGTGGGAAGTGCAGGGGATTTACCCAGTAAGTTGTGCAGGGGCTCAGAGTAACTGAGGAGGGAAATGAGGGTCTGTAAGCACCCTCAGAACAGAGTGTTTTGCGGGGAAAGGCTGCTGGAGTTCACAGGGGGTTGAAAGACCCTGAGAAAAGGGTACAAATGGGGCCTTTATTGCAACTAAGCTGGAAAGGGGAGGCTCTGGTCCTTGGAAGACTTGAGGTCTGGGGACTGGTGGCAGGGAGATGGAGCATCTAAGCCAGGTCCCTCACTAGTTTGTGATGGGACATGTGGGTTGGTTCCCTGGCCAGATCAGGAACTGGGAGCAACTAGTGGGATAGGAACAGGGGCTTGCTTCAGAGTTACTCAAAACCAACAGCTTCCTTTGGGGAGGGTACTTGCACTATGTGAAGTTGTGGATGGTGTTGAAGTAATCCTAGTTCAAAGGCTCTTTACAAAGCTCCTGTTCTATTTCAAGCACAGCAAGGGTTCCTGTTTAGTGCTAACAGGACTTTTTCTTTAGAACAAATCAAAGTTAGTTGTGTTTTGTGTAATAGTTGCTTTTTTTCATCTTTATTAAATGCCTGCTACAATCACAAAATGGCTTCAGTTTCCTCATGTTTTGCTTCTGGTGCTTACTGTCCAGTTAATCAAGTGCCATCAAATCTACTTGCATTTCTGCTAATTTATACATTAGTTTTCATGCCCTGAATATAGATTTTCTCTGCAATGATAAGCTGTGTGATCAGCAAAGTCACTGCACTCTTAATCAGAATGTATGGGTAACTTAGCAATTTTTGTTCACATTTTATATGAACTTTCCTTTGAAGACTTGATGTAAGCATTTTTAGCCTGCCATTCATTAAGTGCTTTCTGTATTTTTGCCAGTGTAAAAAGTTGCACTGTTTGGAAGAACAAAGGCAATAAATTCTGCAACTTAATAGAGATACCAGCATTTCTGCTGGCCATCGGGAGGGTTTCTGGCATGATCTGTACCAAGGGCTGTGTGTGGGCCCAGGGAGCTCTCTGACCAGCGCCTTCTGCTATGATATGCAGCTCAACACTTTGCATCTGCTCTGCATGAAAGATGGTGCTGGTTCAAGCTGGTTTCCCCCAGCATCTGCTCTGGGGCCTGAGGAGCTGCCTGTGGCACTTTTGATTTACGCTGGTAACGTGAGTGTGTGGGAGCACTCATGAGCGCGCACAGTTCCCTGGAGGTGCAGAGGGCTGAGATGGACATTCATACCTTGCACAGACTAGACATAAGGAGACGGGGAGGTTTTTGTTACTTTCAGCCTTATACAGAGAAGAAAAAGCTATGATTTTCCTCCAGATAAAGCAATTTCCTCACCCCTATTTCCTACTGACTCCTTGCTTTGATGCGTTGGTGTATGGTGTGTGAGTCAGGAGTTTGCTTACTGCAAGTGTCATTGGTGTTGTACAGGGGCTCTCCACTCTCCATGGACATAGACAAATTGCTGAGAGGAGGCTATTCTGCATTAGGGAGCACTCTGGTTTACTCCCAAACCTTATCTGTGTTTCTTCTCTTCCTGTCACCCCTACTTTGAGACCCTTGGGAGTCACCTAGTCCAAGTTCCTGCTTAATCAGGGCCATATCTGAAGTTGAATCAAGTTGCTTCTGTTCCTTGCTCTGAGCTGTGGCAAGGCTGGTGCCAGGGAAGTGGCACTGTGGGGAAGGGCTCTGAGAATACTCTATGGTATAGCTGAGAAAGGAGCCTGCTGCTTTGAAGTGTCAGCTGGGTTTGGGCTTTTTGGCTTCTGTGCATCTTCCTTGCTGATGAGACTGGGCAGAACCAGGCCAACTGGGTGGAAGGAGACAGCGATGCTGTTGCGACATTTTGCAGAGTCAGGGATGCAAAGTTGCATCAAGTAAATTGCTAATTATTTTTTAAAAAATAACTTAGTGAGTTGTGATGGAAATAAGTTAAATAGTTAAATGAACTCTGAATCTTCCCCTA